TTATCTCCTTAATAAGGTTCAACCCTGACGTCTCATGATGGTAAAGAGGTGCCCTCAAGGCTCCCAATGGCTCTTTCAGAGGATCCCAAGCTTTAGCTGACCTTACCAAGCAGAAAGGCTTTGAGTACAGGCCCTGAAACAGACTGTATCTGTAGTCTAAGAACAAAGCTAAGTATGAAAAAGTCCATCAAGTAATTAGCAATCAGGTCACAATATTTTTGGCCACTTCATGTGATGATATAGGCTAAAATACAAAATGATTCTCAGTCCTGTGCAATCCCTTCCTTCTTCTTCAGTGGTGGTAACAAAGTAATAGGAAAAGGGGCAGAGGCTACTAGGAATTACACGGTTCTAGGTCAAGTACAAAAATCAGTTTAACTGTTTGTTTCTTACCATGCAATCTTTGTCCAGCAACCAGTGAGCTGACACACATCACTAGAGCTTATATATTGAACACTTATGAAATCTCAGCAAATTTTTACTCTAACAACTTACCAATTCAGGGGAGAGAACTAGTATCAAGACAGCTTCCAATTATGAAAGAATGTATTTCTGATCTTATAAACTTACTTTTAAAATAAGAAGGTCCATATTTAATGAAAGTAGTTTGCTCTGGAGAGAAGCAGAAAGATCACTAGAGTGTTTTGTCTTGGCAAATCAAGTCTAATAGGTAAAAGGTAATGAACACAGAGAGCTCAAGAAGTCTTTCATTATTCCCTTTGCAAATATTCTGAGTAAAGAATTGCCCCACTTACTAGAAATCCAAGTACAGGGGCATAAAACAAATGAACAATATTAGTCAGGAGGAAGCGGTCACAAAGGGAAAGTATTTGATGAAAAAAGGAACGCATATTGACTGAAATGTCTATTTTTTTCTAGTCCACCAAAACACAACACACTTCTACCCCAAACTATATTTATTTTGATTTATAGCTGTTACTTTTTTCCAGTCTAAAATATTTTCAAATTTATTAGCTTTTCATCAGTTAATACCGCGGACCTCAAAAGTACAGTGATGAAACTTCATAAGCTGAAAAGAATTTAAAGTTAGGGTCTTGCACACACTCATACCAGGGGAATTATAAAAACAATAGAAAAGGAAGAGAGACAAGAAATCAATACATGGCAAAAGTATACCAACCTTCAAACTGCTAGTTGCCAAAGAAGGGCTGCAAGTGCTTCCATTTTTCCAAGGCAGAAACAATACAAAAGAATGGCAATTTGATAGCAAAATATTGAGATCAAATTCATATCCAGGCATAGCCACAGCTGTCCATTTAACCCAAGGAAACTTTTCTTCCTTTAGAACAGGAATGTGCCTACTAGATAGTACTGATAAGTTCCCTTTTTAGGTGCAGAAAGAGCTATAACAAAAAGTGTGTATAGAAATGAGAACATTGGAGAACACCACCTAATAAGGCCCTATCTGTATTTTCACACTAAAGGAAGCAATCAACAAAAGTGTTCTACTGCAAATTCTACGTTAAAATAAGTGTTCATTGTTTTCCAGCACTTAAGGGAAACAAAACTTACCACACCCCACGATATGAAGGAAAAATTGCTTTTAAAAAATTCAATCTGTACATTATTGCCTAAAATAACTAGAATTGTAATATTTCATTCTCTCTAACCTACATCAATATTTATATTTCCCTCCACACAAACATCCATGTGCACACACATTTTTAAAGCACTTAAATTTGTTACCTCCCTGATTCATGCATCTGTAGACATCTGCCACTGAAGTTACTGCTATACTGGAAAGGGGAAAAAGACAAATATGGAGGATTTTTGAAGTATCTGTGAACTAACCTGTATGTGTTAATTTTGCAATCAAAATGGATTATGCCACTGAACGACGTGGGAGAAAAGCACACGAGAAGCTGTGGCAAAAAGTTACTACAGTGCTGTCTAAGGAGCTGGGAGTTTGCTTTGCAGAACTGAACAACCTGACGTTGTTACATGCATGTTTTACCATATGCTTTTTCTACATGAAATTGCTCTGTTTTCAGGCAGTAATAGAGTAAACATTCCCATGAAGTTTATGACTAGTGTAATTAACGGGGAACAAATATCAGAGAATTTCTTAAATAAGCATTTAAATGATGTATTGAAGTAGTAGGCCCAAACATGTTAAGTGTTTTGGGACAGCATTAAAGACAGTAATCATTGGTATCATAGACTTGCCATATCCCAATCTATTTTTTGAATAATGCAAAGTCCAGTCTTTTGGCAAATTTACAAAAGGAAGTCTAGGTTCAAGATTAATGTCCTTCCTACCTGAGGAAGTCAGCCTGGACTAATGTTAAGAACACTGGACTAGGGGCAGATAGGTGGCGGAGTGGATAGAGCACCAGCCCTGAAGTCAGGAGTATCTGAGTTCAAATCCGGCCTCCGACCAAATACTTGATACTTACTAACTGTGTGACCCTGGGCAAGTCATTTAACCCCAACTGCCTTAAAAAAAACAAAGACAAAACACTGGATTAGGAGATCAGAATCCTATTCTAGATTTTACCACTACCTAGTTATGTGACATCAGGTAAATTTTTTCATCTCCCTGCACTGAATTCCCCATTATAAGATGGAGTAGAGCTAAAAGGTTTCAAAGATGCCTTCCAGCTTCAACATTCTAAAGACGAATACATGCCTACTATGGAAGAACACTGAAGCAAACACAGTAAAGTCCTAAGTGTCATTTTCCCTGTGCATGGGAAAAAAGAAAAACACATGTAGAAAAATAAATTCTGGTTACACATTCTGTCAAAAACATGGAGTAAAAATCTCTCTCAAGAAAGGAATATTAGGGGGCAGGTAGGTGGTGCAGTGGATAGAGCACCAGCCCTAGAGTCAGGAGGACCTGAGCTCAAATCAGGCCTCAGACACATAACACTCACTAGCTGTGTGACTCTGGGCAAGTCACTTAACCCCAACTGCCTCACCAAAAAAAAAAAAGAATATTAATCTGGAAATACAGGTGACTTTAATCACTCAAATATAGTGGAGAGTTTTTAGCCTACATAACATTGCCAAAAGCTGAAGGACACCAAATGTGCATATTCGAGAGAGATTTCAAGCTTCTTACAGAAAGGAATGACTACCGTAAGTGGCAAACTTATCAACCTTTCCCCCCTTGTTCCCTCATGTTCAAACCGTAGGCTCTTTTTGGGATTGGATCTCAAGATCAGGGTCAGAGGGTGATCAAGACAACTACAGGGCAAGATGAAACTGCAGAAGAAAACAACAACGCAGACACTTATGGGGCATCCAAGTGGGTGGTTTACAATCCAAAGGTGCATACCTTGGCTAATCCATTTCAAAATGTGGCATTTCTACAGTATTTGTCCCCAGAGTTAGCATGTGTTTATTATTTGTTCAAAAGTTGGAGCTAATTATTGCAATCCTAAAGAAAGGAGTTGTAACCATAAGATAGGAGATTTTTTTTTCCCTTCAGACATTAAAGCATCTCCATTTCTCACCCATATTTGAACAATATCAGGTTCAAATTCATAAAGAGGAAACAAACTCCTAGTAAATTTTGAGTAAACTGAATGTCAACATTAAATGGGTTAATGTGGATAAATGACATGTGCTATCAGTCATTAAAAGATAAGGGCCAACCTCAATAACCAACCTCAATTTCAGGGATTCCCCAAAAGCGAAAAAGATGAGATCCTTGCTCCAACAAAGTCTGTTCAGAGGCGATTAATTACATGTGAAATTACATGTATAGCTGAACTAATGGAATACTTAATTCACTTTGAAATTTAAAGATGTTAGGATTTTCCCATCATTATTCAATTCATTTTGCAGTGATATTGAGAATACTAGAATAAATGTAACTGTGTGTATGTATGTATATATGTATGTGTACATCTATATCTACACAGATACACATACACACACATCAGAATCTTAGAAGCACAAATAGCACACAGAACTCTATAAGAGGTATTGCAGAACAGCAAATAGAGAGCCATCATCCAAGTCATGAAGACCTGGGTTTCTAGTTTTTCATGTCCTGGCTGTGTGACTAAGGACATGTCACTTCATCTCTAAGTGCCCCCAGATAAATCCCTAAGACTCTAGGTAGGATATCACTTGCCTACCTCCATGGGTGAAAGGAGATTCCTCACCAGAAGTTCTTTGCTAGAGAAATGAAACACAAATCTAGTCCCTTCTCCCTTCACACACATTGCCCCCCCTCCCCTTCCCACAGCCAAAGTTACACAATTTAATCTCCTAAAGGGCAGG